GCATTCCTGGACCGGGACTTTACCACCAGCCTGATCACGTTTGTGTAACAGCCCCGGGCTGTGCGGGTTCACACCCAAAACCCACCACGACAGGGTGGACAGATTGTCTGGTTTTGACCCAGACGTGGCTCAGGGATGAGCAAGTTCAGCTTTGCCCTGCCACCAGCGAAACGCTGTTCGTCCGGTCTCCAGCTGGGTAGCGGGACCCTGCGGTGGGTGTTGTGTCCTTATCGCTTACAAGGACACGGTTCTGGTTCCCACCCGGACGCTGTTTCCAACACCGCGGACACTCACCCTTTTTATGGGTAAAATGACCCTTTGCAGCGGATGGGGAATCTGTTGTAGCAGCAGTGCTGCCACGTCCGGCTCCTCCTGGCTGCCCACGACCTGGCTGGGGCGGAACACGGAGAGCGTCAGCGCACTGCCAGAACGCGGACAGCAGCCCCAGCGCTCCGCGGGCTACGTGGTATAAAGTTCTCTGTTCTTTTTCAAGATGGCAAAAAATGGGTGAAACAAAATCTCCAATAACACAAAGGCAAGGGAACAAAGGAAAATACATTTCATACAAAGCAAAGCTTTTTTTAAGAGGAGGAGGTCAGTGCAGTCAGACCTGAACTTTGAATCCCAACCAGTGAAAAATATAAATTCTAGAGAGAAAACTTCTAGAAGAAAAGAACATGAAAAAAAAAAAAAAAAAAAAATCACTCACTTCCACAAAAGGATGCAACTTTCGACCGTTTTAAGTTTTCGAAGCAGCTGGGCTGGGGGAGGATACCAGAGATCCCCATGTACTTTGGAGGACACAGGGGTCCTTGGCTGGTCCAGGGAGAATAGTAGCTCTGGGTTTTGTACAAAGGCACGACAAATCTGAATGCTGAGGTAGCACAGCTCCTTGACACTGAAGAGAAACATGGGAAAAAATGAAAACTCCAGGTATAGGACTGGGAGTAAGCAGGGAGTCCCATTGCTGAGTTCCCCCGAGCTCCAAATGAGCCTCCAGGACTGACCTGGTGTCCTGGAGAACGAAGCAGAATGGGAGAAGGAGACGGTGTTCTGGAGTGACTTTTTATAAAGGCTGAGCTTCCTTTCCCATGTGAGAGCCTTCTTGGATGGCTGGATGCCATTTCCACGGGAACCTGAAAGGGTGAAAATCCCGCTGTGAGATTCATCGAGTGGCTTTTCCGTAGAAATGCGATAAAGGAGCAAATGAAGTTGGGAAATGTGGGACTTGATTCCGTGTAGAATCGTTTGCACTCACTTTGGGGAGGAGGACTCCTTTCTGTTTGCTTTGCTGCAGGTTTGACAGAGGTGCTTTTCTCTAGGGTATAAAGAACAAGCATTGCTAGGAGCACGCTGCCTTTCCCGCACAGACCGGGCGTTCCTCACTCACCTCAGCAGCACTGCACTTTTCCTCTTTAAAACTGCAGTGACCAAGCCCCGACTGCTAAGCAGTCACAAGGCGTGAAGCTGGTCCATACCAAATACCGAACCCTAACCAAGGTGAAATCACCTTTGCACTCCGGCACGGCTCCGCTCCAGGCCGCGTCCGTCCCGTCGCTGCTCGTACAGCGGATGCTCGCCTCGCCGACCAGCTGGAAGCCAGCCTCGCAGCTGTAAGTCACTGTGGAGTTATACACAAATTTCTCTGCTCCTGCGCCGCTGTGCTTTCCATTGCCGATCTGAGGAGGTGGAGAGCAGGTAATCGCTGCGGGAAAGAAGGTCAGCACGAGTAGTGCGAAAAACTTCAGTGATGATGAAAATGCCAAGCAGTTCTTAAGAGTTCCCCTAAGATTCTTGAACAGAATAAACTTTATGGGTGGCTGTCGCTGGGTGACTACCACTGCCTTCTGTCTCGATCATCTCTCTTTGCTTTCTGAACTGGTTCTGTTGTCACACCCTCTCCCTCCCAGGGTCACAAAAATAAACAGGCAACTTGTCATGCCCTGGCTTGTGGTTCCTTGAAAGCTCATCCCATCATCCTCACTGCTGCCTTCATCATGAGAAAATACCTTGGTCTTGCAGGGACAAACCTGCTGAAATACAGCGTCAGCAGCGAAATGGGCATTTCTCAGCTGCAGTGCTGGGGACAGATCTGCCACGTAATATCAACACAGTATGAAGACGGGCTTAGAGCAGACATTAGCATGCAAGAGCTGCTGGAGCGAGGTCAAAAGTAAAGCTGGATTAATCTTACGTTCGCATGTTGGAAGTTTACTCCATTCGACGTCGTTTCCTTTAAGCTGACACAGGATGAACGGACTCCCAACTAATTTGTACCTAAATGAAAATACAGAAGGAAAGAAAAATTTGTGTAACCATCCAGAAACTGAGAACACTATTTTTCCCTGGTGCCATTGTGATCAGGAGTGTGGAAAAGGCAGTTTTAAAGCAAGCAGAGGTGCAGGTACACTCCTGTTAACAGGAGAGCTCTTTTCCCTCACTCTGCCAGGATCCTCGCTAACGTATTTTGAGGTGATTCCCTCCTTCGACTCGCCGCAGGGCACATCGTCCGTCGCAGGGGTGGGAGAAGACGTGGCTGGCCGCTGGGCGGGGCGGAATGCCGGGCGGCACTGGGGTTGGGTGTGGATTCCCACACGGACGCATCGGGCTCGCATTTGCTGAATCCTGGCAGTGCTGGGATTCAGGCTCCCGGCACCCAGCGCCTTCCCCACAGCGCTGCCGCCCACCGGGACGAGGGGAGGGGGTGAGGAGCTCCGTCCGGAGCAGACACAGCATCTCCAGAGCCCGGGGCTCGGCCCCCGCCGGACTTCTTTT